AACATGAAATTAGATGAAGATTGCTCTTTCCTGGAAGAACAGGAGTTTCCTGCAACTTGAATTCCTGCAGAGCTAATGCCCTGAATTTTAGTAGATCTAACGTGTCTCTATTTCTGTTGCTGTTAGCATTACCATCCCCACTGAAAGAATGCTTAGGAGCCCAGTCTGAATTAAGGCACTACATAATACACAAATGTAGCAAAAATATGGCTCTATATGGAAAGAGTTTCTAATCCATTACAAAACACCTTATTATGAAAAGCAATAGATAAAATCTTAAGTGGACTGGCTTTGAAAATAAAGAGATTGGAAATGAAAGTGAGTTCTAAAATACACTGCAAATTAAAGACCTTTAGAAGGACACCCTCAATTTAGTAATCAGCCTCTTATCGGAAAAGTTTATTTACTACTTTTATAAGCAACACACAAACTAACTGTATATGGAAACGTTAATGGGAGGCAGGGGGAACTGCACAAGATTACAGTGAACCACAAACAACCCTCTAACATTTTCATGGGCAATTTGGTCAGAGATCTCTACCCACAATGAAGGGCAAATGCAACCACTTCTCCCAGTCCCCAAAGGACTCTGACTCTTCGTGCCTGTATCCCTGCCTTTAAGGGCCTAAATATGCAGTGCTATGTCTGGCTGCTTGGAGAGGTCATGGAGGCTTCCCTAAGAAGTGAAATACCAGGGCTTGCTCTCATGTCCTCGAGTGTCCCAGAAACGCTGCTCTGCTTCCGCAGACTTGGAATGGATAACGCTAGGAATCACAAGCACACAGCTTGAGCCTAAGGCACTGCACTGCCCCAAGAGCCCGTCCCCTTCACAGCACTGTGCAGGAATGTACACTCATGCGGCAGAATCCAGAGCAGTCCTGCAGGTCCATCCAGTCTGAAATAGGGGAGCAGACAAGTCGCGGGCTAGCAGGAAATGCTTGTCCTGCAGAACAGTAGGAGAACATAGGTGGGAGTGTGGCGTGGGAAAGGGGCAGGGTTGCTGCCTCCCCTGAACAAAGGCATCCCTGCAGACAATTGTGAATTGGTGGAGGGATCCTTGGAGATTCTTCTTAAGTAGCTGTGGTTGTTTAAGTACAGTTCTGTCCTGAAAATTGACTAAAATAGAAATTCTGAACTATTTTTCTAGTGTATCCTGATTGAAAGTGTACAGCTTATAATTGAAATACCTGGGTTTTTTGTAACTGCTGACTCTGTACTCCTTGTAGCACACTGAATTCTTGTATTTGTGTAGAGCATCATCAGTTGTGCAGCCATTGAGGCCATACTCTGCCTGCAGGGCCATCTATGGTACCCCACTGTAGGTATGTAACTCACCACAGCTTGGCAGCTGGTGATGTACAAGATATAACAAAACACGTGTCATGGTCTCCACACTGCTAAAAAGCAGGAGGCTTGGTTGCTTCTTTAATGTTACAATAAGAGCATATGGCTATGAATGCATACTACCACTAAATCTGTTCGATAAAAGGGGCCTTTTTTATATAGGCACTCTGCTTTAAGATGTGTAAAGCTTTACAGGCCATGTAGAAAAAACAGATTCCCTAAACGTCTGGATTCAGATCTTGCAGGAAATCCTATTTACGGTGAAAAATGCTATTACAAGCATTTGCAAAAATCCTGAAAATAGCACAGATGGACACAAAATGATCTTTAGTCTCTCTGATGAGTGGGATAGAGATAAAGTTCTGCAAGCTTCAGGGATTAACAGGACATTATGCTCTTTGGAGGCCAGTTGTTTCCTTTCCTAACATTAGCCTTGTTACCCAAGACAAAGAGAAGGATTTAATGTCTATGAAGCAAGTTTTTTTGGCAGAGAATGTGTAGACAGCTATTCCACACCCGAACATGTTATTTATGACAGGAATCTAATTACTTTGTGAACAAAAGTCAGTACTGAAGCTACTCCAGTAAATTTAAGCAGATCAGGCTATAGACAACTGCTAAGATAAAAACCAGGTAAGATAAAGAGATCTGGCTATATTCTACTGTAAATTAAACTCCCATTGACTCCATATGCTTCAATCAATGAGCGTGTGTGGGTGCAGCTGATGGCTGAGCTTGGCCTAGAAACTTAGAATATTCAGTTACAACTTGATGATCTAGTTGGTCTTAACTCAGCCAAGCAAAGATTCACAGGGTATTAAATTGCTGCTCATGTAATTACATGATTAGGTGATAGTTTTCAGTTATGTCAACCTAGTTACAGTAGGCATGAGAAAATTTTTTCTTTCCTTCTTAAAATGACAGCAGATGGAGAAAATATTATCGTGACATGGTTCAGATTTGCAGCTTCACTTCCCAGTTTCCCCATCCCAGAACAGGCACGTGCTGACTGTGCCTGCAGTAGTGTTCATTCATTGTACATGAGCAGGCAGTCATTTACCAACGTCCACTGAGCAAGAAGCCAAGGCATCTGTGTTCAACCTGGCTTGCACGCTGCCTTGTTTGTAGACTGAGTTTTCTGACACTGGTTAGCACAAAAATGGAGTGTCTAGCATTGCATATTTCCCTATGACATGCAGAGCAGAAGCTATTATGCAAGAGGACTACACAGCTGTTTCTGTATGATTCTCATCAGTCTGGTAATCAGGGAAGGGTGTGGCCTCCCTCTGTTATTTCCTTCCCTCTTGTGAATTTTTAGTTGATATACACAGATGTGGTTACTGTCCCTTATCCTTTTCTATACCCATCTCCCCCTCTCCTGTTCTTTTTTTTTCATCATCCTTACAGAAAGGGGTGATATTATCAGAAGAATGGCCTTTTTTTGAAACTGCAAAACTTTGCCTATGCCATTTCAGAATGCAAGTGCATACTTGTAGATCTAACTGCTTGCCTGAATACAAACTGCACCCCAGCGTACACAGGGCCCCAGACCAGCCTACTAAACTTGCTCCATGTCTGAGCCATATCTTTCACTAAATCTTGCTTGGTACAATTTCTGGAATACTCCCTGTGAGAAGTCTGGAAAACGAAGGCTAGAGCGTGCTAATTACACCTCCTCCAGACATGTGCGCTAATCTTAAACTTTATAAATTCCAGTATACCCATTCTTTCCATATTAATTAAACATATAAATACATGGTGAGTACAATTGTCTCATATGAAGTTTTTTTAAAAAATCATGTAATTTCAGCTGCAAACAACTAAAATATATTTTGTTTTGGTTTTATATCTGTATGTACATTTGTGCTTACCTTTTGAATTGCTAGGTATGTGATAGTAATGGCAATGAGAGAATGCCTAACGTAAGCATATGTCATCCGTTACACAGCAGTTGACTGCAGCTCAGAATATGTCTTGTAACCTTCAATTATGCAGTCCAACAAACTACTGCTATCTAACACCACCCTACCCTGACGTAACCTGACAGCTGTAACACTTTGGCACCAGACAGGGCTTTGTTTGCTTGCATGATTATAACCTCAAGGCAGGAACTGCACCTGGGTATGTGACACAGTCTCGGGGCACTTTTATAAGAGAAACTCCATGTGCATTGCAAAGCAAAGAGTGTAATTTTATTAAGAGCTTTTCTGTCACATTTTGGTATTATAGTTAAAACCCTTGGGGAAATAATGGAAACGAAAGTATGATTTTGCATATTTAAATTACATCTATTCTAGCAGGACTTGCTTGTTAAACCTCAACCTTTTCGGTACAGTCTATTTCTAAGGCAGGAGAGATTTTCCCATTACTTTGCAGTTTCTGAATGCAACTGCCTTGCAACTGAAAATAAGCATGTCTAAAATAACTAAATTTTATGTATTGAAATCTGCATAGTTAGCAAGAATATTTGCAATACAGTCGTTGATGACACACGGTAATCGCAGAACACTAAAGGGAAGCAAGGAGTCTAACCAAAGCAACTGCATTGGCTAAGATGGAATAATTCTAAAGGAAGAAGAAAAATCAGATTCCCATGTACCATCAAAGAAGGAATATATATACACTATATATATATATAAAAAATTTAACATCAAAATAGTTAAGGTTGCTCAAGATAAATCTAGTCACATCCCAGAAATAGTATGATTCAGATCACTTAGAGTTGCAGAGAAGCAAAAATTTTCAGACTATAGATATTATCTGATATCTTCCATAAAGTGTTGGGTCCTTATTCAGCAAAGCACTTAGGCATAGATTTTAAAAGGATATTTTCAAAGAAACAAACTGATTTCTGGCAGAAACGGATATGCTAGTCTATCTTAAACTAAAGGCCTTTTGTACCTTTGAAAATCTTTCCTACCAACTTTAATAGGACCTGAACATATGCTTGAAGCTAAGCAGAAGCTTTAGAACTGAATAAATATGATCTTAAGTGTACATTTAAATGCATTGCTGAACTTCATTCTGAGGGGAGCCAACATAAAATGGAAGCAGGTTTAAATCCATTGAGAATACTCCAATGTGAATTATTCAGGTATTCCCACTTCAGTTAATTGTTCAAGCTGCAGAGCCAGTGAAATATTTTGATAGAGCAATATATGACATCAAGGCAGCATAACAGTAACATGCACTCTAATCTCCAGAAAGTTGTCTCATCCCAAAGTTCCAGCATTAAACATTAAAAGTTTTTTAAACTATCTTTCATAACTTTTATAGTAATTTTTTCATTTCTTATAACAACAATTTGGAACTGAAAACTTACCACACAATTAATTCCCTCTTCACTTTCAGATGCTGAGAGATCTTGTTTAGGCTCCAGGTTCAGATCTGTATCCCATCATTGTACTTGAAAAGTGTTTTCTGGGGAGAGAGAGGTTCTTATTAGCAGACATTCTTCCTGGTCACAGAGCAGGGGAAAATAAAGAGCAAATGTTTGTTCCAGCAATGGCATACATACCACTAACCTCAAATTCTAGCATTGTTTCAATATTTAACAATTATCTTCAGCTATACCTGGACAGCAGCAGGAGTTGCAAACTAACCAATAACATTTGAGAGACACATTCATGGTTTTACATTTCTCTTTCAAAATACAGGCACTTGGATGTGGGTGTGTGGGACAGGCTGTCCTTAGCAGAGGAGCCCATGGTGGGCCCATGACAGTATCAGTTGGATTTGCAATGGCAGTCACCATAGCAGTGTATGTGTCTGGGGGCGTTTCTGGTAAGTGACTTTTTTCCTTATATAGCATTTATTGCCACAGTTTTAAGACTACCTTATTAAATTACTTCCATTTCACGGTATAAACAATTATGTATCTAGCAATAGCAAGCACCATTACAGCAGAGTCTGCATCAATGTTTTACTAATAAATTTTTTGTGGTCTTGTTTCCTTCTATTCTTTGCATTTGACAAAATCTTCCACCAAATTCTGATCTGAACTACAATATGCAAACCTTGGCAGACCTCCGGCCTTTATGGAAAGTGGTCTGTGTATACCGGAAATCTGCTTGGTGCTGCTTTGAAAATTCTGTCAATAGAGATGATCCTGGACAGCACAGGCACCATGTTGAAGGAAATAACCATGGAAAGCTTACAGAGTCCAGCAGACACCAGCTAAAATGGTTGCCAGCTAGGTAGAAAGTAGAATGACCCACTAATGGGTATAATGAGCAGGGTTCACGTTATGGAGTGCAATTTATCTCTTCATATCCTATGACAGGCAGTAGCAAGTCTGCTCCTGCCTACCGATTTGCAGAAGCAGCAGATCAGAGAAAGCAGAAACAGCAAAAAGATTCAGTACTAGAGATATACTCTGTGATACACTGTCAATGTACTGTCACTGCCCCTTTGTTACTGCTATAACATTTCCTCAGTATGTGTTGGTCAGCAATCTCTTTTTTCTCTATAGCTGGCCTAACCCATCAGTGTCTACACGTGCCATACTGGATGGTACTTTGTTTTCTATTTCCACCATTCTGTTTGGCCAAATTAATATCATAAACATTAGCAAAGCTGCTTTTAACATTTAAATTCTCCCTTTAAAATGGAAAATGATGGGTTGTATTAATACACAGTGTTATCTAGTATAATACACAATACTCCGTGTTGTATGTGGAGCTTACATTGTCCTCTCAAAGCAAACGGTACCCTTGTACTGCAATTCTCAGAGGCATTTCTTACCCTTCATAAAGAGGGTAAAGCCAATCTAGGCAGCTATCTCTAGGTATTACTAGGTCATTATAAATAGTTGCTATAGCAGAAATTACTGTGGCCATTTCTCTTTTACAAATTTTTTTACAGAGACACCATACATGAGGAGGTTTCTAAGTTCACATTAGAAAGTGCTCAAGGTACTGCAAAACAGTCAGTCTTGTTACTGTCATAGAAACAGAGCAGAATGCTTCCTTAATACCACACAAAGTTAATTCAGCAGTACATTCCTATTATTTGAACAACTTGAAACTACAGCTTTCAGTTTATATGTAGGCAGGTAAATTCTTCTGATGCAGTATTATGAAAAAAAACCTGTAAATACACTAACCTGTCCTACATTTGCATCTTTAAGGGAAATTCATCTCCATTACATAGAAGATTACAGGTCAATCCCAGCAGGGCAGAGTAGTTGCAGATGTTGTATTGTGCTTCCTCTGTTTTTCCCATGACAAAGGATTCTGCATGCCATGAATTTTCTCTGTGAAAGAATAGGAACAGATAGTTCAATAGGCTGTGACCACTCAACATATGAATACTAATGGACACTAGAATATCAGTTCCTATATAGAATTGGTAAGCAAATTCTGTGGCTCTTTGGCCATGAAGTCTTATGTTTAAGTACTGCTAAAGTATTTTGCATCAGTTCTTTATGAAGTTTTAAATTAATGGTAACATAAAATATATAGTCTGCACACTTGGTGAATTTGAGTTCTTTTATCTAGGAAAATTCCTCTTTTTGCTTTTCCTCCATCTAATTTTCCTCAGAGTCTAGAAAATCTCCCACCATTTTTTCCAAATATTTCAAACAAACTCATGACTGTGATCACTGCTACTACAAAAGAATGGGGAACACACTGTCCAAAACAGACTTTTTTTTAAACCAGGAAACTACCAGTGGCACAGGAACCAAGAATCTTTTAACTCCTCTATGTCAGCCTGAGTGCCTTCAACTAGACTTTTCCCTTCCAGATTTAATGTTAATCAGACATCTTTAATATTACTATGACTTGTCCTGGTCATCACAATCACCCTGTATGATATACAAGTGGAGAACAATATCAGGTGTTGAAAGAAAGGAAAATGATTCATTCCAGCCAGAGTAAAGAACAAAAGACAAGACAACAATTTATCAAAATTCACATGAAGAGCTGTTAAATAAGGTGCCATCCATCTATTTGCTCTGTGCTGAAGAATTTGAAACACAGTGAGGAATTCAAAATTAATTCAAGACTGGTGCTACTAGGACAGAGTTTTGGAAATAATACAAAGAAGGTTTTATCCAGCTTGTTATCTATGTTTGTCAGTTCATTATGTATCAAAGGTGCCTGGATTTCATAAGATAATGACTCACTGACCTGAAGCGCAAACAAACGCAGAAACTGTACATAGAGGCCCTTTCTCTATCATTAGCCTTTGGCAGACAAAGGTCACGTTCTTTTAGTTATTTTATTAAAGACAAAGGCCATTTTTTCTGATAACTGAAAAGCCTGATACAGGCTGAAATGAGACTTTACCTGGAAGGTAAGCAATGGATCTGCTATGTCCTTGCAAAACTTGGGGTTTACTGTATTTTTAGTGTGTAGTACTGTTTCATCTGTTTGTTTATTTAGCAATTTGTATTTCTTAAGCATCAACTACATATTTGTAAACAATTAACTTTTCCAAAAGCATTCAACACTTTTTTCCATGTTGATAAAAGGTGTTGAGGGAAGTGACTAGCATGTGACATGATAATAAATATATTTCAGAAACTGAAATTGTCACAAAGAATTCCAGTGTTCTGAAATCTTTTCCATGTGTGCATTTAGGTGTAGCTACTCCTAAACGCAAAGGAAGGAAATTTCACAAGAAATAAAACTCTGTTTCAGCACAGCTACTTTATCAGTTTCCTTATCATGGACCTTTCTGGAGGGTGTAAGAGCTTTATGAAAATGTGATGAAGAACTACGCATTGCTGTCCGCAGGTCCTATCTAGGCATAGCTCACCAACAGTCAGCATGAAGCTGGACAGCCCTAACATCATTCTGTTTTATGGTCATGGAAACTGAGTTCCTAAGTAACCCCAGGTTGAAGACAGGAACATAAACATGACTTAAATCCAGGGTACTCCAGATCTGCCTCAAGATACATGATCAAGCCAGTAATAGTCCTTAATACATACTTGCTAAACGGAATGAATGTTGTGCTGTCCCAATTCTTCCTTAAAAATAAAAAGCCAAAGCCCTTGAGGAGAGACAATGGACTCCCCCATCACAACCAATAGGGCAGATTTAGGCTTCTTCTAGAAAAGTTGTCTATAGATGATATACTGCAGGACAGCAGTCTGAAATAGCAGAACCTGCAAACATCAAGAGGGAATCTGGATCTTGGCGTCTTTCCTCATCCCCCCTCTAATTTCATCTAACTTGTTTCAGTTTAATTGCAGTCAGCATTTAATTGCAAAATAACATCTAGAAAAGCATGTACTAGTCCTGTGCTCAAAAGTGCCCACGTTTTACAAATCCTTCACCTATTCTCATGTATCCGAGTCATCCATATGACTGACTTTGTGATTTATTTTTCAGGTGGTCACATAAACCCAGCTGTTTCATTAGCCATGTGTGTGACTGGAAGATTAAAATGGACCAAATTACCAATTTACATATTAGCACAACTCCTGGGAGCATTTGTTGGAGCAGCGGCTGTCTTTGGGATTTATTACGGTGAGTACACCTTAGACATGCTCACAGGACAAACTAGAGGTCAGGCAATTTCTAAGGCCTCAATTTTTCAATGAATGCCAAGCAGGCAGAGGACTCTGTTCACACAGGGCTAATGGCAGGACTGAAGCTAAAGCCATGAAAAAAAAGAAAGGAAGCAGCATAAAGAGTTTGAAGGGAAAAAAAGGCTCAAACATTCCAGGTATCCTACAACTTTTCTGAAACACTAATATTCCAAGAAATGTTCTGAAATTTAGAAAAATTATTCATGGGAAATCAGATACTCTGATATCATGTATTCCTCAGTAAGGATTTTAAATTACTTAATAGCCAGGATATAGGGCTATTCATCTTCCAAGCAAATTAGAAAAATTAAAGACCTGATTCGAGTGCCTGTAGGCAAGTATCACCAACATTGTTCATTGAGGTTACAGGATACGAGATCAAGTCCTTCCTGACTAAACTTCAGACCACCCTAGAGAGGTAGCTCTCCAAGGCAATGAACTCCACATAAAGTGATAAAGGGGTCACATATAAGAAGGGGAAAAAAAAAGAAGAAAAAAAATCCACTGTCCTTGAGGCATGTTTCTTTTACAGTGTGCCACAAAGGGAAAAAAAGCTTATTCACAGACTCCCTGACTTGATGAATCCAGACAGTAGAACGAGTTGCTTTAATCACCTGCTTCAAAACTCTGTTTCTACTGAACCAGCCCATCTCCTCCGAAGCCTCTCTTATGGGCATTATGTCTGCAGACAGTGCTCAGTCCAGGTGCAACAGAGAAAAAATGAAAATGGAAATCTCTATTGTGTATCACCTAGGTGGCTCAGTACCAGTAGTAATCACAAACAGAAAAATCTTTAGGAACCATGGTAACTGTTTTGGGTTTCATGGGGGTTTTTTTGTTTGTTTGGGTTTTGGGGCTGAGAGGAGGAGTTACTTGCTTGTTTTAAGGTTAGTGTTAGGATTTGGAAATGGTGGGATTCCAGAACAGGATTTCCAACTGAATCTAAGTCTTCCTCAAGCCAGGCAGCCAGGATTAGGGCTGTGGCCAGGATGCAGCAGTATGTCGACATGCACATGGGGTTGGGGGTAGATTCACTGTGTTCTGCCAAAGGGTAGCAGTAGGATAGGGAGCCAAGATAGGGAACTTGGGGCTAGAGTGAGAGCTAGAGACTTTGTCTTGTTACTCAGGAGTGCATCATTTTCTCATATCCCTCACTCTGCTCAAGTACTTTGCCCTCCTCTTGTTCTTATTAATTCCCAAACTTCTTATGTACTTTTTCCTTCCTGCAACTTGCAGAAGTGTCACGTACTCATTGAGGTCCACTGAAAACTCACTGGTATAAAAACAGACATAGGAGCTCAACACCTCCACCTTCCCCATACACGCATGTTTGAGCTAGGTGCTTTCATTTTCAGCGATTTTCCTGAAAGAGTGAGGCAACATACATGCTAGGCTGCTAAACATGAGGCCTTTCTAAAAGTGTACAAAGTAATTCACAGCTGAGCATTTTTCTCTTCCTTATCCTTTTTTTCCTAATAGTTAAATGCAACAAAACAATCTTACACTGCAAATGAGAGCGCCTGACCAAAGTAAACAACTAAATATTCTCTGCACCCATGTCACGGCCTTAAGCAAAGCCAAAAAAGTAGGTTCATCTGCTAGCTTTGGGAGAATCTAACCACCCTCACCATGACTTCCATGAGAGATGCGGAGCTGTTTCTTTACTCTGAAGTAAAGTGTGGATCATTGGATCCACTAGTGAAATAAAGGCATAGTGTTTGTTATTTGTGTCTGTCAATGCAGATTTGTGAGTGCTTCATCTTAGTGTCTTCCTATTTCTGACATTTCAGGGCTAGCCAAGGCAGCAAATTATTCCAACACTGAAGTCATATTATAGTATCTAAAATATGCTTTAAATATACTAACATAAGTATACGTGTATTTACAATATACATAAATCTTTACTATATATATAAAAATACACTAACTTAAATATACTAAGAACTGAAGTTTTGGGGCGAGCCTCTCCCCTCACATCTTGGGTGACTAACATAGTATTTGGGTGTAAAGCCCACACAGAGTGAAAAATTCAAACTCCTTTAGAAGAAGAGGTGTCTCAGGAGAGTTCGTTCCCAGAAGTCATTGCACAACTGTCAAATGGAATAGCAGTAGTTCCTGGTGGCTGGGAATCCGCAACAGTACACTCAGGACACTATGCATTTTTGGGGGCATCATGCCAAATATAGCACCTCTTAGAATAATGCAACTGTGTTCAGAATCAGAAAACGGTCCCTGGCACTGAGTTTGGAAAAATGAGCAGGGCCAAAACCAGCCCCATTTTGAAAGCTGTAATACACAAAACCGAGTACTTCAAGGCACAGAAGGAGAGACGAGACAGGAAGGTATGATTAGTACATCACCTCAAATCCATGATCAGTTTCAGTTGAGAATGTGAAGTCCACAGACCTATCAAATATATTCTAGTCCTAGAAAAACTAGTATTTATGGAGAAATGCAACCAGGTAATGGCTGTTTTCTATAGATGCCTTTATGGAGTACAGCAATGGAACACTTGAAGTCACAGGACCTAATGCAACAGCACATATCTTTGCAACATATCCAGCTCCGTATCTGTCCCTCATAAATGGATTTGCAGATCAGGTAAGTGCACTTGCTGTCTTGATTCTACAAATAAACATACTGAAAACTGTAAAAACAAGCAGTGAAAAAAATACACAGATCTCTAACAGGTATGATGAATTTCATCATTTTGGTGATACATCACTGTGTACAATAACAATGAGAATGCAATGCTGTTTCTTACATTTTAGTCATATTTTACAAGCAAGATAATTTCAAGTTGTTCTTTTCACATACATCATATTAATTGTTGCACTCTACAAGTCTTAAATGCAATACATGTAAGAGGTTTTCCCCAGCATAAATCAATGTTTTCCCATAAACTTCAGCAGAAATATGTCCATTTATATCAATATCCAGCCCATTTTGTGGGCCTGTTATGCCTTAACTATCACTTAAGCAGCCAGTTTAACACACCTTGAACAACTGAGTTTTCAGCTACCACAAGCCTCCTCTTCAACCTTTTGTTATTTTTCAAATGACTGAGTCTGAAAAAAATCTCCACTTTATTTCCAACCTGTATTCTCTAGTCCCACTTATCCAACAGTGAAAAATGAAGTTTCATATCTTCTGTCTACTTCTAATCAATTTACCTGTCTTCTTCAGGCATACATGGAATAAATACTGTGTAAGCAAGCTATGAAAAACTAGGGATTGCTGGAGCACACAAATTCCTTACCTAAAGGACTTGCAGATTGTCAAATCTGGCTTCAAAAAATCCAAACATTGCTTTTAAATTTTGTACAAAAGACAGTTCTGGTCTTTCGATCAGTCAACAGACTTTTCCATAAGATCTTTTTACTCATAGATGTTTTAAAACAAAATTAAAAACAGATGAAACAAAAATAATTTTAAAAAAAACTTAAACTTCTTTAAATCAGTGTAGCAATTGAATGTTTTTGACATTGCTGAAACTTTTGTCTGTTTTTTCCCCAAGTTAATTATTAGCAAAATTGACATTTACAAAGCATATAATTTAAGCAGTGCAGCACTTCCATCAAAGTAATTCCACGAAAATTTCCTTCGTCATCTCAGTTAGCACATGTAATACAGAGTTCACGTTAGTTACACGTGCAACTTTAATTTAAGGTAATTCCTAATTTTTTTAGTTGCTCAGTTTTACTTTGTAGACTTCACTTTTTTTTCCCTTGCATTATGCAATACCTGGATAAAGAGGTGCATATTTAGTCTAATTTATCAGCATAAGCTACAGTCACATAAAACACTTTTATATCAATGTAACTGATTGTATTGGCATAGCAGAACTACCAAAAAATCAAGTAAATAGAACTGTCAAATTGATAGGAAAAAATGTGGAAACAAAGCATTAGACCTCACACAGGTGATGCCTTTTAAATCCTCTATTCTTTCCATACCAGGTTGTTGCAGATTATTTTTTTTTTTTCAAATGTCCTCAGCACATTTGTTGTCTTTTTCTTTCAGCACAGATATCAAAACTTCTCATTACTGGGAAGCAGAGAGACACTGGGTTCCAAATTTTGCTACTCTGTACAGTGGGATAAGTCTAAATACCAGCTCTAAGCCACCACAATTCACAGAGCTGCCATAGCCCCTCTTTTCATTATTGGAAGGAATCTGCATGTCTTTATTCAATATACTTTCCTTTTCTTTTCATTGGCCAGGTGATATCAACAGCTGTTCTTCTTCTGGCTATATTTGCTATTTTTGACACCAGAAATAACAGCATACCAAAGGGCCTGGAGCCAATTGCAGTAGGACTACTTATAATTGTTCTTACTTGCTCCTTGGGAATGAACAGCGGCTGTGCCATGAACCCGGCCAGGGATCTAGGCCCAAGGCTCTTCACAGCCATTGCGGGATGGGGGATGGAAGTATTCACGTAAGTATGCCTGGATATGAAGTAAAATGCTCTTGGCTAAAATTGCTACTAGGAAAGTAAGATCCTGATTCAACATGGTACCAAGTCATACTTTATATACATATAGGTAATTCTTTGCATACCAGCAGCAGCTATTCATGCACTTTAAGCCAGACATCCTCTAGGAACTGGGCTTTAAAAGGGATTTCCTGCTCCTAGGGCAAATCAAACATGCATTATCTCTAATATTAATCATTGTTTCAAACAGACCCTTCCCAAAATATTAGAGATTCTTAGAGGTCACTGAAAATGTAAGAGTGCTTTCTTCTCTTGTCCTGCAACTTCCGGGGGTGGGGGGGAAATCAAATCATGAGAGAGTTAGGTGGGAATATTTATTGGGTGCTGTAAAAAACATATCAGATTGATTTAGCTTATTATTACTACTGAGTTATTGCAGAAATATACAAGAATCTAAAAGCCTGACTTCCTGCCTGGGAGCAAAGGAGTGAATGAAAGAAAGCTCCCTTCATTTTCCCACATTTCAGAGCACACTCTCAAATCCCTGTGCATGCATATGCACACGCACACACACGCTCTTGGCTGGCCAAATGCGCAAGCTAATTAGTTGCACATCAAATCCACAGCTTACACATATCCAGTGTAAGAGGCACTCTGGGATATGTAAGTAAGAGTAATCTGTCATCAGGAGGTAGATCTTCTGGTTTATTTTTGTATAGTTTGTTTTTCCAGTTATTTACAAGTAGGAATCCACAGAAGTACTGTAGACCACTAGAGAGCTCTGGTTAAGAGATTTCATTTTAGCTACTTCACCAAGTACAAATAATCTGTATTTATTTAGTATGACTTCCATCTACACGTATCATGTGCCTTTGTTGAGGAGAGCAGTAGCAAAGCTTTTCTCATACAAAAAAAGAGCTAGGCACAGCATAGAAGAAATGGGCACACAGTCACGCCATTGCCCAGATCCAAAGTTCAGATGTAACACTGCTCTGGCAAGCCTCCAGTGGGAGGTCATGTCTCCAGCCTGGTTACCTCCAAACTTTTCCTCCCCAGCAGCTCCTACCACCGTACCATTAGACTGCACTTTTTAAAACAAACCAAACCAAACCCCAAAAAACCCAAACAGCAGGACGTCCCACACTCAGGATTCTCTCTCATGCCTATGTAATTATAAGTAGTTGTTGACTATGATGTTAATTATAGCATCAAGTGCTATAATCTGTAATATATTATGGAGTTGGCTATTACGTTATTGAAAAAGTTTGGAAGCCTGATTGTACTCTGCTCTAGTCACAGAATACCTGTGAACTCCCCTCCTCTCCAAAAGTAAGGTCTTCCTTATTTACAGTTAAGAATTTGCAAGAATTTGCAATCTGTGCCAATATGGGCTCTTCCCTAATTTAGTTTTAGGATTTGTATACAGAGAGGGAACGCATTCCCACTGCAAAGACCACACTAAGAAATTTAAAAATAGTAACATAAAAAAATGAGGTATGAGATCTCTGGTCATTGCCAGAATAAACCTACAGCAGTCTCAGGGATGGATAAATTGAAGAAGAAGTCTTCCTCCCTGCCTTCAGTTATAAGGCTACAGCTATACCCAAGTTCAAAGGAATGATACAGGACTACGTTCTCATCTATTTGCAGCACAGATCCAGGTGGGACTTAGGAAGAACTTGAGCTTTGTTAGGTTGTTGGAAGCTTTGGATCAGTTACAGGCCATGGGAGAAGCCTGAATGATTGTAGCTGGGATCCTGAACTGCCTGATGCCCTGCTGGCATTACATGCACGTGAGAGACTTAACTGATGCAGCAACAATTGACAGCTAAACCTTGGATGTCTCAGCTTAACTGGAATTCACCACCTTGAAGCACGTGCTTAAGCTCTCTAGTAAAAGGCATGCCCAAAAGCTGGAACCTAAGCATGAAACCTCCACAGTAACATGAGAGGAGTGCTGCACAAATCAAGCAACAGGAAATACTGAAGAGACATTGAACATTCTTTGGAGTGAGGATGGAAGCATCTCACAAGGTGACTGAGTCACTCTCTGGGTCAGTAAGTGTTGTCTACACAGCAGCCAGGGACCACCAGAAAAGCCTCACTTTGGAATAGATCAGATACAGAAGGATGAGACTCTCCACACTGTGATCCCATGAAAACACTAAACATTGAGATAGTTGGTTCACAGGAGGAAAATCCCCTCCACCCTTCTCTGTGCTTGCAGGTCCAGTAAACCTTGGGTTTATTCTATTGTCAGCCAGGGAACTGCAAGTAGACTGGAAAGGATCTCTTCTGCTGGACCATGGAGTTGTCCAGAGGATAGAGAGGCAGTTGAGCAGGCGTTTTCCTCAATGTTGCTGTTACTACATTTTGCACAAAGGCACCTGAAGAAGCAGTGTCTCTGAGAATCAAGCCAGGGGACACAGGCTATGGTTTGGTTTCCTTAGCCAGCGCAAATGGATTTATTTTGGTTAAAGGCTCCCATCAGGAGCTGTTCTGACCCACTGCAGCTAGAAGGGCAGAAGGCTGGAAAGGTGTCTGTCAAGCACCCAACAGAGAGCACCATTTCACTCGCAATAGATGTAGACAGCACTGTAGACAGGCCTGCTCCTGCAAACTGCTCCTCAGGCTGTTGGGAGTAGGTGTCACAGATCACAACTGTCCCCATCATTAGAAACAACTGCTGACTTTAGAGACCTAAATGTTTCTAATGATTTGTCCTAAAACACTGGAAATAACCAGGAGTCAGTCTTAAGCACATGCTTAATATTCTAATAAGCTTAAGAAAAGTCTTGGGCAGTGAAGTTTTGTCTGAAGTGAGAAAACAGCCAGAGCTTTAAACAGAAATACCAGATTCTAGATTTTGACAAGCATAACAGCATGAAATGGCAATGAAAGTGAGAAACGGCTCTATAGAATGGTATTTTGCATCAGCATTTGAAGCTAGCCATAGAATATTTCAACTCTGATACGGGTTCTTTTGCACCTTTGCTGAGTTCGACTGGCAACGGCAGCAGCAATGACACAGTACATGCTTTGCTCCGTACCAGCGCACCTCAGCCGCTGCGAGACAGGGGCCGCGGCAGGCAGAGCCCGGCCGCCGCCGAGGTAACGGTGACACCTCGTGGCCACCGGCACCGGGAACAAGCCTGAACTAAACGGCATTTTGGAAAGGGTCAGGAGACGCACCTCGTCTGCACAGGGATTTGGGTGGCAAAGTGGCCGCTGAAACATTTTGCATTTTTCCCGGAGCACAGAACTGTGGCCAGACACCTTCCACGCTGCTGACTGCCTGAATTATCCTGACATTTCTTATAGCAAACAGCGTTATCTCACTGTCCCGCAGCAGTTGGCTAGGTGAGAAATGTATCTGCAAGCCTAAAATGGGCCAAAGCTCCCAGTCCACATAGCCTACACGCTGTAGTCTCCTGGAAATTTTTGCAGTTAACCAAAGTGCAGTTTGCCAGGCCTGTGCACTGCCGCCTCCCCTGCACAGCCAGCTCCCTCCTGCTCTGCCCAACAGCAAACCCACCGGATGATGACAAAGGCGTAGCTGGATGTTTTCCTGCTAACTTGGCAGCAAAGCTGTAAGCTAGGGTATAAGGGAACTAAGTTTACTTCGGTAAAACGATCTGTGCTTGTCACAAAGAATTCTTGCTCCTGTGTCAACAAAGGAGGATTAAGTGTCATGGAAACTTGTAACTCGGCTGTGTCCTGATCTCATTCCAGCTTTGGCATCACCCTCTATAAAGACTTTACACCCATCATCTTAGCAGAGGGTGTCTAAAGCACAGCTGACAGCAGCTGCTGCAAATACAGGCCATGATTTGGAGAAGGTCATGCAGGAGCCAACGAGGCACATATCAGTTCACGGGACAAGCCAAGAGACAAGCCTGCCGAAAAACACCTTCGTTGCATGCCCACGTACACACACAGAAGAATACATGCAAGTGCTTGATAGAGATTTTGTTGTGCTGATTAGTTCAATAAAACCTTAGTCCATACTTGTTCCAGAAATTCAGGGGCTCAACAGACATTCATGACTCAACAACACGCAGATCTATAAACTCAGTAGAACAATATCAAGTTATTTTATGTCCTCAGGGCAAAATATAAATAATTCCAAAGGCAAAACATACACATCCAAGGCATTTCTGAACAAGGAATAATACTATCATCAATAGGACACTGTGATATTAGCCCTGTTCTATTATTCTGTTGCAACTTAACCACAAGTTCACTTGTGCATAAATGTATACAACTAAGTGCTGAATAATTATCCTTACAGTTTAAAAATTCCCCTGGCAGCTTCCTGTAAAGTTCCTCTCAGATGAATTTGTCCCTTTGTATTTCTGGTAGAAAAAAAATGTTACTTCTCCATTTTCAATATGCATGAAATTGAGGTGGTTGGGTTTTCACTGCAGACTTGCATATTCAATTAATACAGCATGTTATCAAATCAAAACACCTTCATGCACCAGTACAGTTAAGAAAGTATCTGCTCTGAAACCAATGCTCAGTAATTTACTGTCTGAATACGGACCTCTAAGAAAGGGAGAACAATTCCACAAGCCCAAGTCTCCTGTATAAAGAGGTTGTTATTTATTCTTTTATACCATTTAATAGTGGACTTGTTTCTTTAAAAAAGTTCACACAAATCTACACATTTAAAATTAAATCTTAGTAATTATGCACAGTGAATGTAAACATTTCAGCGGAGCCAATATGCTCAGCTTTCTTACTGAACACAGCAATTCTAAAAAAGACTAAGTTTTAGATGTATAAAACTTCTAAATGCTTATTTACCTCTTACTGAAAGACCTCACATTTTAAATACAGAGATAAGACACTACATCATGAAATCTGAATCTTGACCACTCTGGTCAAGCATAATCCACTTTACAGTCACTATGTTTTATTACATTCCTTAAGGCAAATATACTGAAAATCAAGTATAATCCATTATATTTGTCAAGAGAAACACTGTGTATACTATTGCAGGCCTGAACCTGCAAATCTCCATGCAGATGAGAGAACTCATTTTTGCAACATACATTTGCATTAATCACTCCCAAAAACCTATTCATGAGCATCTGGCAACAGCATCAGTCAAGATTGCTGTGCAATAAATATGACGCTGTTCATTTCATTGTAAGTCAATGAAGCCCATTTTCCACAAGGGAGAAATTATGCCCTGCCCTCAAAACAGACATGCAGTAAAGAGGCCTTATTTTCTAACGTGCAAGTACAGCACGTAGACCAACGTGCCTGGTGGTTGTTGCTTAGCATTTCAATCACAACGTGGGCAGGACAGACGGGGGTGTCATCCATTTACAGAAGCGTGAGACAGGAAAAGTCTACAGTATAGGGAGTGTCACACCACCTTATTTGTCCACTGCCAAATATAAGGTAGGGTGTTCACCAGAGTAACAAATAATGATAATTCTTGTTGGGGTTTTTTTGTTGTTTTTTTTTTTTTTTCCTTACAGGGCTGGAAATAATTGGTGGTGGGTCCCTATAGTTGCACCTATGCTGGGAGGCATACTTGGAGCAATGATCTATATTGTTTTTATTGAAATTCATCACTCAGATACTCAGCCACGAGAAGAAAATGACATGTATGATAAATATGAACTGACCAATCTGGAGTAAGAAGTGAAGAATTTTCTCTCTCATTTTGTTGTGCAGTTTTTATGCAAATGATTGTTTGGACCATTTTATAAAAGCTGTATGCCTCAATTAGAAATTCACATTTCAAAGCAGAAAATCTATATAGAAGACAAGTTCAAAACTGAACTCTTTCCATGAAACATCAGGCTGATCACATTCAAAACTGGAAACTTGAGGGTGGGAAGGGTAAATTGTTGTTCTTTTCATATTGTTTTCAGATGAAGTTATCTCCTAGATGAAACTGTAGTGAGATGATGCATTGACCTGTTAATTCAACACATATGATCTTAATCATGTTGCCTAATTAACTGAAAATAGATGAGATATTGTTACAAAACTGTATGCATAGGTAGTTAATTGGTTCAGTGTTGAAGTAATGTGTAAGAGCATCACTCAATTCTTGCAGCCATTATTTAAAAATGGCTTGTTTGAAAATTGAAAACAATAGCTGAATTGCCTAAATGTCAATTAAAGTAGTTTTAAATAACTTACTAAATTTTTATGGAGTCACTAATTGAACAGTAAGGAATCAACTCATCAGTGATGAGGTTTAGTAATTCAGAATGTGATCGCAAAAGGTAAAAACTCTGTATTATAAGATCAACACCAAAACCACAAAGCCGTACCTCTGCACAGGTTCTTCACAACAATAATGTTCTGTTATTTTTAAACTATTTACTTGACCTTTATGCTACCCAATATAAAAAGCCTAACCTAGAATATTAATCTGAACCTCTTCCGCTGTGCTTTCTGGATAAAATTCACTTCTGTGGAGATGGGCCAGCAAGAGAGGCTTATGCTGTGCAGAGGTCAGCACAAGGCCTATGTCTGTATAAGCTTTAAAGAGGCCTGCTGATGATGATCTGCATGGAGGGATTTCATCTACTTTGTGGGAGTAGTTTTTATTTTGGTAGCAGTAATTAAAATTAGAAACTGATCTCAGACCTAGTCCTAGATCTGAATTCCCCAAGGCAGGCCAGCTCCACATCAGAGTTCTGAAGCGTGCATTCTCTCTCATTAAAGAGAAATGGTTGGCCATACACCATTTTCTAAATATCTAGCCTTGAAAAATGAAATTATTTCTGCTTAAACATTGTGAATTGAATTTATCCAATTAAATCAAAGTTTATTTCTAATATGTATACATATATATATACACACAGGTGGTAGTGATCATGAATAGACAACCTATTCAGTGATGCTCTTGAGCAGTTTTCATGGCAAAATTACAGGGTACCAGTTCAATGCACTCATTTTAGGGTACTGTTCTCTTTGGATTCCTACAATTCTGCTCCCTAGAATTCCACACTATTTTCTGATTTCACTCCTGAAGGGAGGAGCCCTTCGTGTTGCCCGTACTAGCCTGGGCACTTTGGTGAGATATCCACAGAAGTGGTCTGGAAAATACCGTGGTCAGAATCTGCCTCAGCATTTGGGCAGATCAGGTCTGTGTCACTGCATGTCTTTATCACACTCCCTGGTATGCCATGCCAAATTAATGGCAGCAAAGGGATAGAATTAGCAGGTCAAGCAAAGCTTTGCTTGCTGCAGCTGTAAATCAGATGATGCTGTACACTCAAGGGAGCATCGTTCCAATTTTAATTATGTTTTTGAGGAAAACTTACAGAACTGTAATGAACTCAGGTTGCCCAGAGACCATATCAACCTTGTGCAAAATGCTCATTTGATTCAACATTTCTCTGCTGTGGGTTAAAAACTGATGTAGCTACACCCATCCACATTTGACTGCATTGTATTGTTATCTGGAGAGCCGCAATAACAAGAAGGGAGCGTTTACAGAATCAGTCCTCAATCTGAGCAGAGGCAGATACAGGAGAAGAGTACAACGTGGAATTCCTGACTGTAGACCTTATATTGGCAGCACAGACAAGCTAGTTCATTTGTCCTGTATATTGATCAATTTCACTACATAAAACAAGATGGTGTGTAAAAGCGATTGCAGATTGAGCCTCCTTTTGCTCCCCCTTGCAACGAGTGCTGTCTCTCACACCTGGCAGGAGCACTCTTAGGCAGCTGCCAGCCACCTGTGTCTGGAGAGGGATTACATAGGTAGGAACAGTCAGAGGGCTGCCCTTAGCTCTGAAAGGCACTTACTCTTCCACTGACACCAACATCTAACATGAAGTATCTGTGCAGAAAATAAAAATAGACTGCTAATTAACCAGAAGTAACCAATTTTGCCCAAAACGGTAGGGGCAGGTTATCACTTACTGTGCTACAATTTTGCAGTCAGTAGGCTTCATGTCCCTCACAATATTGCTTCATTTAATACACCCTGAAAAACATGGGGAAAAGCAGAATACAGGTCAGGAAGGAGAAAGAGACTGTTTATACAATCTACTGAGTGACCAGCCCACACTTGCTGGGTATCTGTGCATTGGCCAAGATACATACAGTTGTACATTTTTCTCAAAATCCTTCTGATCACAACAGGTTCTGCCTGTAAATCAACATGAAATCTTGTTTCTCCAACTTATGCCATTCCTATGCACTGAATTTCTGTATAAGTGCTTTTCTGAAGTTATCAACATGCAAATCTTAAACAGTGACGCACTAGTGTGATAGCATAACTATATCTAAAATATGCTCTCAACAAGTTGTCATGAATTCTGTTTTGCTTAAAGAACTTATTTTTAAACTTTAATTAATCATTGAATGTATTTGTAAATTCTTTGAAGACATGTCGTACTAATACCACAATTCATACTGACTTCACAAAAGCCAGAATTTCATTCAGGAGCAAGGTGTTATAGACCTGTCTCAGATTTGACATAATTTACATTTATAAGAATGAATTCCTGCTTTACAGACAAAACTCAGTTGAGTCTTAACTACAGAACCATGACCAGTATCTCTATAATATAATGGGAACAATTAATAATCATCTCATGTCATAAGTTTACATGGAGATCATAATCTGTTTTGTGCAAAAAAAAAAGTATTTTTACTTTGCATAAACTATGCAATTTTCTAATATCAACTGATATTCAGTGGTCGCACTCATGGTGAATTAATATAATACAGCTGGAAAAACTGTTTCTTGTTGCCAACTGTAAGTCATTCTTATTAATGAATTAACAGTAATCAGGCTTGATCATTTTAATGTTGAAAAAAATCATTGAGAGCATTGCTCAACTTTTAGTCTTGGTTTGTTCCTCTTTTTTTGGGCAATGTGTTTGTTCTTTAGAGCTAAACTTAGTACTGAAGTAATTTGGAGAGTGATTCTGCAACTGCTACTGGGTTAAAGGGTGGCTACTGCATGTTGTTTCATAGAAGCCAGTGGAATTATTCACAACGGGAGTCAATACAGGCAAGGATAAGTGCTCAGAGAATCAAGCTTGGAGTTTAGTGGAAACTGTACTTTCTTGTTGTTTTGACTGTGGATCTGGATGAATATGTTGTGGTTCAAAATAAATACCGTTAATCCCTAATAAATGCATTCCAGTACTATTTTTATTAAAAGAAAAAAAAAATCTCCCCTCTGGCACCTAAGGACATATTAAGAAATAAACAGCTGCCTATTATGACCTAAAATGTTTTATAGCCTTGTGCTGGAAGAACACATTGATTAACAAGCTATATTCCCAGAGCACAGACCCTGTGGCAGATTTCGCGGGTCAGAAGCAGTGCCAAAGCAGAGAAACGCTCACATATGAGTAATGGCCACTGCCGGGCCAGGAAGCACCCATGCTACCGCAAGAGAGCCAGGCCCCTCGCCTCTGGACCTTCTCCTGTTCCTGTCTGCAGCCTGCCTAGGGACACTTTCTGCCACAGCTTTCCCACCAGTCTAACAATAGCCAGAACCTAGGTGGGATATTTTGCTTAAGTCCCTCTTCAGAAATTGCTTTTAGGGCATGCACAAATCACATCACATTTGGCCCACAGTGCTTACAAAATGCCCCAAGCTAATTTATCTATCTTCTACTCTACAGATTTGTAAGAGGGATGCACTTTGCTCATTTCATTTAAAAAGCACATGAAAACCTCTTTTGTGGGGGTGAGGGGAGAGGGAAATATTAGGACTCCAAATTTACTAAGGAAGCCACAAAAGAAAAATTAAGTGGCAGCAGGCATTTTATCCTCCATCCATCCTGATGACCCTTACCTTCTCATCAGTCTTTCTGATTTTCTGTTCTCCTTTCTTTCTCTTGCCAACACTGCGTGCTGTGCTCTGTCTCTATACAATACATCTCCAGAGATTTAAATACAGCATGCTTTTCTCAGTTACTTATGAATCTTAGAAAGTTCTCATGAGAGCAAATTCAAGTTTCACCTCACATGCTTGTTTTTTGGCAGTTGCTTGCATTTTTTCCCCACTGTTCCCACCAAACAACCTTGTGCTGGAAAATACAACAATTAACTGTAACTTCCAGTAACAGCTGCTCTTTTTCTGTTTAGTACAATTGTTATTGCATAACACATTACTCCTTTCAAACATGTACAACTTTTAAAGCCTTCCTTTTTCAAATCACTATTAAAAATAGCACAAGATCATCCAGAAGAAAATAGTCTGTGCACATCAGTTAGTAATTTGGATTTTTATCTTCTATTTTGCACTTACAACTTGTTAAAAACATTTATAATTATTGTACTGTGAGCATTAGTGTCTTCCTGCTTATCTGCACACTCTAAGGGCGTAGTCTCAGAGGAGAAAGTAGTAGGTAATATTTTTAGCCATTAGTGTTTCTTTGTGTATTTGAATCAAATATAAAGAAATTTGTACTGTATGAAGCTAGACATGACACACTTATGTAATTTTTCTCTCTTCACTGACCATGAATTCCTTCTAAATGTGTTACCAAAATAGGGAATATGAATATTACAGCACCTTAAATCAGCTACGATCAAGCTTTCTGGCCAGATGACCCTAGCTCCTTTTCCATGATGGGGAGGACAAACCAATACAGTCCTTCTGCAACCTGCCCAGGGACTGAGCAGTCTGCTTTGAATTATTAGAAATCAAGATTTCCTTTCACACTCCAAACATTGCTCCAACCATCTAGAAATCAAGAGTAAGGATCCTGCTACTTGCTACACTGACAAATAAAGCAATAATAAAGAAGGGAGAAAACTTCAAAAGCTGGTAAAACAAAGAAAGCCCTTTTGGCCAGAGGTCAGCCAAAGGCTGAATGACAAATGCTTGGTTA